GGGGGACAGCGGCCCGGGGGGGGGTTCCCTTACGTGCTTCAAGCACCGCTCCTTGAGCTTCTCCACCGTCGTGTCCTCGGGCACCTCCTCCAGCCACTCCGCGCCCTCCATGGAGCAGACATGGAGCCGCAGCACCCGCCCGGCGAAGATCTTCTCCTCCTGCACGAACATCGCGCCCGGCCGCCCTCACCAGCCCGCGGCCATGGCTGCTGCTCCAGCGGCCGGCTGCCCGGGGAGGGGAGCAGGGCCCGGGCCCGGCTCCTCGCTCTGCGGCCCCCGCCTCACACACGCCCTCGGCTCCCGCGGCAGCTCCTGTCACAGCCGCCTTGCGTGCGCTCGCAGTCCCCGCCGGGGCCTCCGCCAGCCGCACCGCACTGGAAGTAAGGGGGGCCGCACTGCATGCTGGGACTTGTAGTTTTCTCTGCCCTCAGCGGCCTGCGGGCGTGTCACACAACACCGGAAGTGGAAGACGCCCTGCATGCTGGGACTTGTAGTTTTCTCCGCCCTCCGCTGCCTGCCAGAAGTGCGGGCCCAGGTGCCTTTTGGGAGCTGTAGGTTCCCCCTTTACCTCCCTCTCCAGTTGTCAACTCTCCAGAGGTTAAAGATTACTTTTAATTAAAGATTATGTCATGTGATGAAACCTCCAGGAATATGGCCAACTAAAATTGGGAACCTTACTCCAGACGGGAGCCCAGTGCACTCTGGGAGCTGTAGTTTTTTACCTGAGGTGGGGAGGGAGGAGGGAAACCTCCTGGTTTCTGATGGGACTTGAAGCCTGCACCCAGAAAAGGACATGGTGCATTATAAACAGTTGCAGTCCCAGGGCATTGTGGGGGTTGTACTCTCCTCAAACAAAGTGCATTGTGGGAATTGCACATCCTCTCTCTCTGAATACAAGGGGCTTCCAAGTGAATTGCAAGTGCACCATGGGATTTGTAGTCCCTGCCAGGAAATTAAACGGGCCAAGTGCATTATGGGAGTAGTAGGCCCTATTAGGGAAAAAAACACCCTACATGCATTATGGGAACTGTAGTCCTAGTCAGGAAATGTTTCAGAGTAGCAGCCGTGTTAGTCTGTATCCTCAAAAAGAACAGGAGTACTTGTGGCACCTTAGAGACTAACAAATTTATTAGAGCATAAGCTTTCGTGGGCTACAACCCACTTCTTCGGATGCATATAACATAACATATATATAACATATGTAGCCCACGAAAGCTTATGCTCTAATAAATTTGTTAGTTTCTAAGGTGCCACAAGTACTCCTGTTCTAGTCAGGAAATGAAGCCCAAGTGCATTGTTGGAGTAGTAGTCTCTGTTAGAAAAAAAAATAAACCACAAGTGCATTATGGGAGTTGTAGTCCTAGTTAGGAAATAACCCACTGTAATCTGTCTATTCTAGCTCTCTCATCTTTTTTTCTTCTCACAACTACAAGACAAAGTCCCACAGGCAGCCACCCTACCACTAATGGGCTGGGTTCAAAGCTGGGACTTAGGTGTCAGAGATACCCTAACACTCAGCCCTTTGAGTCTTCTAATCTTCCTCTTGTTGATGTATGAATAAAAGAGATGATGTCATTTTAGGAGAATTCCACTTGACCATGTTTTGTAATGAAGGTGGTAAAAGAGTCTCCGTAATTTCAGAACAAATAATTTCACCTGTTTGTGCCTCTGTTTCCCCATCTGTAGAATGGACAGAGAGGCAGGGTAGTTCAGTGGCTAGGGCTCTAGCCTGAGACTTTGGAGAGTGCAGTTGAATTCCTTGCTCCACCATGTACTTTGTGTGTGATCCAGGCAGCTCACTTAGTCTCTCTGTGCCTCTGGTCCGCACCTGCAAATAAAACAATACTTCCAAGCTTCACATGGTTGTTGTAAGGACAGATACACTTTTAAAAAATGTGAGGCACTAAGATATTACAATAAGGGGGGCTGGATATGTACCTTATGTAGACAGATACTTATCTTCCTTTCTGACGGATGCAGGATGTTGTGATCTGTGAATTCTTTATAGCAGCTAGATGTTACAAATGTTCAAACATCACCCTTCCTTTTTATTACTCAATTATCATATATTTTCTGAAGTTTTGGTTCTTACAGACTCCCAGAACAAAATAACCTGTCCTTAGGTAATCAGATACTATGGTGATGGGCTCAATATAAATGCCTGGATAGGCAGATAAACAAGGCAGATGGATTAGATAAACAAAAAAGAACATTTTCCAGATGATGAAAAAAGTTATGCTAAATTGAGCTAAATTATGCTCTAAACACATCTAAGCAGTTTAAAGGAAATACATGGCTAAATACATCAAGCTAGAAAAAATGTTATCGTAAATCAATTGACATCAGACCAATTTACGAAGAACAGACAATTTAGAAACACATGTAGGTTATTAAATGAAAAAATAAAAAGATGAGGAGTATGAGACAAACATAGGAAAAGTACAGTCAATTCTTTCCTTTTGAAATTATTGTTAATTATGCCTTACATTTGCACTATGATATTCCCAGAGATGGGTAAAAGACTGAAAACAGTAGCTTTGAAACATAGTGCAATAATGGATATTATTTTTGTGTTCTTCCATTTCAGTAGGCACATCGGTTTCCTGTTTTAAAAAACTCTGATGTATAGGTAACTGGATCTTTTATCAGGTTTCAGAGTAGCAGCCGTGTTAGTCAGTATCCACAAAAAGAACAGGAGTACTTGTGGCACCTTATCAACTTTTATCAACATTTGGGCATCTACTTCTACAAACTTCCTGGAAGTTATGGGACTTTACAGGAAGTTTTCAATTTGGCCATTGGGGGGAGACAATAAACTGTATTTAGGATTTTTTTTAAAAGGAAGGCAGGATTACTGGAAATATAAAGTGTGGCTGACAGGCAGATGAAGCTTTCTGGAAAAAATAAATCCAAACACTCCTAGTGGCTTGGTGGGTTTGTGCACTGAACATTTCTTTCTCAAGGTAAGGGGTCTGGTCAATAATTTTGAAAGGCCCATTGTATCTCTCCAATTGTACGCAGGCATATGGCTATTGACTGTGGTGCACCCCATTTCTGATTGCACACCAAACCTGTATCAGTTCTTTCAGCTCAACTGATGAAATGCACTAAGAGCTAGGGATTTTATTATTCATCATTATTAATTATTATTATTTATTTCTTTTGAAGACAATTTTGCTACAATCATTCCCCACCATGTCCCTGAGTGTCATAATATATACATAGTAGGGTGAAGGTGATTGTAGCAAAAATCAGAATGCTAAACAACTGGTGTATATTTAGGATGATATGGTCTTGTCTTGAAAAGATTATGGCCAAAGCAGTCTTTACACCGTTTTATTCCATCTTCACTCTGCCTGACTCCCATCTCAAGATCATCATAAATAAATACAATTATAAAAAAAATAATACATGCTGCACTTACATCATACCTTTTTCCACAGTAGAATCTTGAAGTGTCTAATGTAGTATATCATAGTGCAATGTATGTACCCTATCTGCTAAAATTTGGAGATGTTCAATTTTATGAACTTTTAAATTTTATGAACTCCTCAGTCCCCAATTAGTTCATAAAATAGGGGTTCTACTGTATTCTGTATCACATGCATAATGAAAATATGTGGGTAAATTTATAGAAATTCAAACAAACTTGATTGGCAACCAAAATTAACTAGTTGTTCCCCACCACTGTCATGTCCCTCAAGCCAATAAATACACACCCAGCTATTAGCCCTAGTTACAAAGTCAAATTAAGCAAATGCATCTTGCACACCATCCTAAAGCCTCTGAGAGCTCGGCTTTAACAGACCACAAGAGGGAGCAAATTTCCCCTTAGATGATCTCCTGCCACCTACCATCAACTCTGGGGAGAGACTGCAAGAGCCTTCCAGCTGATGAATAGATTGTCTTCCCATATAAAAGACCATTACTTTACCCCATCAGGTATTTGAATGTGCTGCCTGGTTTTACCTTCACATCTATTGACAGGGATCCCCTCCATTATTAATGGAATAACAAAAGAGATCTAAAATCAGAAGAAAGGAAGGGCTGTGACATTGCAGTATTATATCCCTCCTTCCCATTCCCAGGCTAACCACCCTTGGCTGACAGTGCCAGAAATCCTCTCTCATTAGAGACTGTCTCTGCTCATCGATACAAGTCAAATAACCAAATACTAATAGATACAAAAGCACTTTGTGGTTTTGCTTGTGGTTCAGCCTGGTGCTTTTACCTGGGCAATTCTTAGCAGAAGGAGCTCATTTATGTTTTCTTTTCAGGGGTGTGTGTGGTGGGGGGGAGTTTGAAGTTTTGTGTATGTTTCACTGCCCCTCTCCATGGTGCTGAAACACATGCCCCACTCCCTCACCCGTAGCAGTTTACTCATCACAGCACATTTGGACCTTGATCCATTTCCTACTGAAGTCAGTCTCTGTTTTCCCATTGACTTCAATGGGTGGTAGATTAGCCCTTTGGTTCCCAAGACTTCCCGGGCACCTTGATGTTCTTCCATTAGGCTGGGACCTGACCCTTCACACCTACTTTCTACTAACGTAAAGCATTCTCGCAATTACACGTCTGTGCACACCTGCTGCTGTGGTTCAGCCTTTGCCAGGCCTGTTGTGGTTGCCAGCAACAGAATCAATCTCCCTCCCGAAAGGAACCAGCAGTCATACTTTTCTTATCTTTCCTATTATTACACTGCTCTACAGCCAAAATGCTTCTGAAAAAACGTAGTCAAACTTTACTAATTCTGGGTCACTGAGAACGAAAATGATGCTTAAAATTGTTGATTGGCTCTAGTTTTCAAGATATGCTATTGGGTCAGTATATACGACCCTTGACTTGGGAATGGCGGAGGATAAGTGAGTTATAAAGGGAAGGGATCTCAATTTAAACCAGAAATGACTAAAATACATCTTTGACTGGATCTTTGAATAACCCTATGACTGGGTTTGGACAGGACTTGCTTTTTAGGC